TTACATAATTATATCATTACATTTTTTTTCTATTTTTTTTTTTTTATTTTTAGTAACGTAAACCACATGGAGCCAAAGAATGACACACAAATTTTACAATTTCTTCTTCTGGGAATTTCAGAGGACCCAAGGTTGCAGCCTGTCCTCTTTGGACTGTTCCTGGCCATGTACCTGGTCACAGTGATAGGCAACCTGCTCATAATCCTGATCACTATCTCAGACTCTCACCTGCACACACCCATGTACTTCTTCCTCTCCAACTTGTCATTTGTGGACATCTGCTTCAGCTCCACAACTGTACCAAAGATGCTAGTGAACCTCCAGTCACATTGTAAGTTCATAGTGTATGAAGACTGCATCACCCAAATGCTTTCCTTCATATTCTTTTCAGGACTGGACATCTTACTGCTTACCATAATGGCTTATGACAGATATGTGGCCATTTGTCACCCCCTGCATTACACAGTCACCATGAATCCCAGACTCTGTGTGCTGATGGTTCTGGTATCCTGGATAGTAAATGCCCTGCATATCTCATCACAAGGCTCCATGGTGCTACAGTTATCCTTCTGCACAGAGTTGAAAATTTACCACTTTTTCTGTGAACTGAATCAGGTGTTACAACTCACCTGTTCTGACAATTTTGTTGCTGTTCTAGCCATGTATCTTTTACCTGTGTTGATGGCAGCTGGATCCCTTATTGCCATCCTCTGCTCTTACTACAAAATAATTTCCTGCATTCATGCCATTTCATCAGCTCAAGGGAAGTACAAAGCATTTTCCACATGTGCATCTCACCTCTCAGTTGTATCTTTATTTTATTGCACAGGAATAGGTCTTTATCTGAGTTCTGTTGTAACAGAAAACTCACAGTCAACTGCAAGAGCTTCAGTTTTATACAGCGTGGTCACACCTATGCTGAACCCCTTCATCTATTGTCTGAGGAATAAAGACATTAAAAGTGCTGTAAAAAGAGTTTTGGAGATAGAAACAAAATTACACCTGTTGAAATCCCCATGACTGCTGGACAGATCTGAGATGCATTGATCTTATTGTAGAAGTAGAATATGCTCCTTCTATTGTATTCTTGGAAGCTCTCTTTAACTGGGTGTATCTTCACTCCTCATTTTATAATCCTATCTATCATACTTCATTATCACTGAAATATGCAACTATCCCCATGTAGTAATTTTCTGTGTTTTGTCAACAAATACTTCAAAATATTCAAAGACATGATACAGCATGTTTAAGTATAATTTAAACTCAAATGACATATATAACAAACTTTCTCTTCTTTAAAATACTAAAAAAAATTTACTTTTAAGGAAAATTGTACTTGGTGCACAAAGCTCTGTATATAAATTCATGGTGAAGTAAAATCAGAAACTTTGGTTTTTCAATATGTTTCCTTCATCTCACAGTGATGAGCTAATTGCACTTTCTTGTAATATAATATTAGTATGTTATGGCTGGAAATTATATTTTATTCTTACGTTTAAAATTCCATTTCTATTTCAGCTCACTGTCCTGTGTATACCATCGTGTCATCCAATCCAGTGTTTGAAGTCTTAGTTACAATAATGAGACAATTTGGTAGCTTCTATGTACACTAATAAAGAACTTGGTAGAGCAACAAATTGGGGAAATTATCACACTCATGATAGGTACAAAAATAATGTACTTAAGAATAATCATATCCAAAGAAGAGAAAGATCTCTAGAACAAAAACTTTAAGACATGGAAAAAAGAAAATAGAGATAGAAATTAGACCTTCAATGATCTAGGGTTGACAGAATTAATATTGTGAATATTGCCAAAAATCTAATGCAATTTCCATCAACATTACAGTACTATCCCTCACAAAAATAGAAGAAATTCAAACTACACATGAAAATACAGAGTCACATAGACAAAGCTATTCTAAGCAGAGAATACTGCCCAAGATACCACAATATGTGACCTCAAACTATACTATAAAGCCATAATAAAAAAGACACTGCATTGGCCAGGCAGTGGTGGTGCATGCCTTTAATCTCAGCACTCAGAAGGCAGAGGCAGGCAGATCTCTGTGAGTTCGAGACTAGCCTGGTCTACAAGAGCTAGTTCCAGGACAGCCTCCAAATCCACAGAGAAACCCTGTCCCTAAAAACAAACAAACAAAATGTACTGTATTGGCACAAAATGTACATATAGAGTAATGAATCACCATAGTTGCTTAAATGAGAATATCCTCATAGGCTTTGACATTTGAATTATTTCGTTCCAAGTTGGTTATGCAGTTTGAAGAGGCTTAAGATGTATGGCCTTGCTGGAGGAAATATATCATTGGCTGTAAGCTCTTGGGTTTAAAAGCCTTGTGCTCTCCCCAATTTGCTCTCTGCTTCTTGCTTCAGGATGTGACCATTCCTGGTTCAGTACGTGAGCATTCTGCTTCTGTTCCTGACACAAGGCCTGCCACCTGCTGCCTTCATGAAATCTTAAACTATCTAGAATTACATGGCAAATAAAATCTTCTCTCTCCAGGTTGCTTTGGCGATGCTGTTTATCACAGCAATAAAAACATAACTAATATAAATAGAACAGAGGCTCTCCTTTTGTTGTCTTATTGCCTTAGCTAGAACTTCAAGTACAGTATTGAAAAGATATGGAGAGAGTGAACAGCCTTTACTTGTTCCTAATTTTAGAGGAATCACATTGAGTTTCTCTCCATTTATTTTGATGTTGACTGTTGGTTTACTGTAAATTGCTTTTATCATGGTTAGATATTTTCCTGTTATCCCTGAGCTCTCTAAGACCTTTATCATGAAGGGATATTGAATTTTGTTGAAGGCTTTTTCAGAATCTTGTGAGCTGATCATGTGGCTTTTTCTTTTTCAGTTTGTTTATGTGGTGGAGTACATTGCTGGATTTTTGTATGTTGAACCATCCCTGCATCTCTGGGATGAAGCCTACTTGACCATGCATGATGATTTTTCTGATGTGTTTGTGGATTCCATTTGCCAGTATTTTACTGAGTGTTTTTGCATCAATGCTCATAAGGGAGATTGGGTTGTAGTTCTCTATCTTAGTTGTGTCTTTTTTGTGGGTTGGGTACAAAGGTAATTGTAGCCTCTCCAAAAGAGTTTGGAAATGACATTTCTGCTTCTATTGTGTGGAACACTTTGAAGAGTATTGATATTACCTCTTCTTTGAATTTCTGGTAGAATTCTGCACTGAAACCATCTGGCCCTGGGCTTTATTTTTATTTTTTGGTTGGGAACCTTTTTTTTGTTTTTGTTTTTGTTTTGACAATATTTTTTTATTTAATTTTATATAACAAAGTCCAATGAAATGAAAACAAACATTTATACACAATATTTGGGAATTTGGGTGTCGTTCTTTTCAAACTACTTCCTACTGGTAAGGGGCGCTGTCTTGGGGGGATTTGAAGAAGATTCAGATATGGTTGGGAACCTTTTAGTGAATGCTATTTCATTAGGGTTATAGATCTATTTAAATTGCTTATCTATCCTTGATTTAATTTCGTTAAACGATATCTATCCAGAAAAATTGTCCATTTCTTTTAAATTTTCCAATTCAGTACTCCTTAAGTTATTCCACACAGGAGATTCATTGCCAAACTCTTTTTTACAACGCTGCAATTATGTTGGTACCCAAGCCACAAAAAGACACAGCTAAGCAAGAAAACTACAGGCAAGTCTTCCTCAAGAAAATTGATGCAAAAATACTCAATAAAATACTGGCAAATCGAATTCAAGAACACATCAGAGAAATCCAAGGGGTACAGGAATGGTTCAACATATGAAAATATATCAATGTAATCCACCATATAAATAAATAAAAAAGAAAAACTGTATGATCATCTCACTAGAAGCTGAAAAAGCCTTTGACAAAATCCAACACCCTTCATGATTAAGGTCTTGGATAACAGGGATAACAGGAATATATCTAAATATAATAAAAGTAATATAGAGTAAACCAACAGCCAACATAAAAAATAAATGGAGTGAAACTTAATGCGATTCCTCTAAATTAAAAAACAAGAATATGTTTTCCACTCTCTCCATATCTCTTCAATATTGTAGTTGAGGTAGTACCTAGAGCAATAAGACAAGAAAGAGTGATCAAGGTGATACAAATTGGAAAGGAAGAAGTCAAAATTTCACTATTTGAAGATGATATGATAGTGTACATAAGTGACCCAAAAATTCTGCCATGGAGCTCCTACAGCTGATAAGCATCTTAAGCAAAGTGGCAGGATACAAGATTAACAACAACAACAACAACAACAACAAATCAGTAGTCCCACTATATACAGACCATAACGGGGCTGAAAAAGAAATCAGAGAAACATCACCCTTTACAATAGCCAGAAACAACATAAAATATCTTGGGACAACACTAACCAAACAAGTAAAAGACCTATATAGCAAGCACTTTACATCTTTAAAAAAATAAATTAAAGAAGATCACAGAAAATGGAAAGATCTCCCATCCCCTTGGATAGGCAGGATCAACATAGTAAAAATAGCTATCTTGCCAAAAGTAATCTACAGATTCAATGCAATCACCATCAAAATCTCAGCACAATTCTTCACAGACCTTGAAAGAACAGTACTTAACCCTATATGGAAAAACAAAAGACCCAGGATAGCTAAAACAACCCTGTACAATAAAAAAACTTTCAGAGGCATCACCATCCCTGACTTCAAGCTCTACTATAGAGCCATAGTAATGAAAACAGTTTGGTATTGGCACAAAAATAGACAGGTAGACCAATGGAATTGAATTGAAAACCCTGATATTAATCCACATACCTAGAAATACCTGATATTTGACAAAGAAGCTAAAATTATACAACGGAAAAAGAACATTCAACAAATAATGCTAGCATAACTGGATGCTCGAATGTAGAAGATTGCATATAGATCCATGTCTATTGCTATGCACAAAACTTAAGTCCAAATGGATCAAAGTCCTCAACATTAAATCCAGCCACAATGAACCTCTTAGAAAAGAAAGTGGTAGGTGCTCCTGAACAAACTGGTACAGGAGACTGCTTCCTGAACCTAACACCAGTAGCACAGACACTAAGATCAACAGTTAATAAATGAGATCTCTTGCAAGTGACAAGGTTCCTCCTTGTATCCTAGTTTCTCTGGCGGTGTTAACTATAGGCTGGTGATCCTTTGCTCTAGGGCTAAAATCCATATATAAGTGAGTACATACTGTGTTCCTCTTTTTGTGACTGGGTTACCTCATTCAGGATGGTTTCTTCAGTTCCATCCATTTGCCAGCAAATTTCAAAATTCCATTTTTATTTTTTTCCACAGAGTAGTATTTCATTGTATAAATGTGCCACATCTTCTTTATCCATTCTTCAGTTGAGGGGTATCTAGGTTGCTTCCAGATTCTGGCTATTACAGGTAATGCTGCTATGAACATAGTTGAACCGATGACTTTGTTGCATAGATGTGAATCATCTGGGTATATTCCTAAGAGTGGGATTGTGAGGTCCTGTGGGAGACCGATTCCCATTTTCCTGAGGAACCGCCACTCCCACCAGCAGTGTAGGAATGTTCCCCTTTCTCCACATCTCTTCAGCATAAGTTGTCATTGTCAGCAGTAAGATGGTATCTCAGTTGTTTTGATTTGCATTTCCCAGATAGCTAAGGATGTTGAGCACTTTCTTAAGTGTCTTTCAGCCTTTTTGATTACCTCTATTGAGAATTCTCTCTCCAGTTCTGTACCCATTTTTTTTAATAGGGTTATTTGATGTTTTAGTCATCATTGTCTGTGCTACTTAAAGTTATGTTCAGGAAGTGGTCTCTTCTACCAATTTGTTGAAGAGTACTTCCCACTTTCTCTTCTAAGAGGTTCAGTGTGGCTGTATTTTATCGCAGTTAAATAAGGATCAGGATAAACAAATAGGCCGAATAGATGTTTATTCAGGGAGAAATAACTTACAACCTAGACAGATGAACACCAGGAAATTCAACCTGATGCTCTCCTGTCCGAGTCACACCAACAAGAGAGCTTTTCCTGGCTCTCTCTCCGACCTCCTTCCACAGGTCACTTCCGCCCATGGCTCCACCCCCCAATGGGCGTGGTCAGTGCCACAGAAGGACTATCTCACTACAGTATTTATGTTGAGGTCTTTGATCCATTTGGACTTGAGTTTTGTGCATGACAATAGGCATGGGTATATCTGCAGTCTTCAATACACCGTCATCCAATTGTGCCAGCATCATTTGTTGAAGATGCTTTCCTCCTCCCATTGTATACTTTTAGGTGGATAGGTTAGTTGTTGATCTCACTATCTGGGAAGGGCATTTATGGTAGCCTTTCCACGGTTGCTCAATCTTGTAGGTCTCTAGACCTTTCTTTAGGTTCAGTTTTCTCTTCAAACCAATAATGGCTCCCCTCTTTTATGTTTGTTTTCTCTGTGTGTGTCTCTGTCTCTGTCTCTCTCTCTAAATCCCTACTGTCCTTTACAAGAAGTCTTCATTCAAATATTAGGCATCGGAACTTTATCTCAGGTAAAACAGAATGTAGAGAGAAATAGGTGTATGAGGCCTGAAGGCCAGAGATATTAAAACCTGATTAAAGATCTATTCACACTCTAAAGGAGATGCTTGTTAAAACAGAAGAGGGATACGAGGACCCCAAGGATAGACTACATAATGATCTACTAACTTGAAAATGTTTAAACACTAATGAAACAGGGACAACAGCTGCTGAAAGATACTTGATTGTGGAAAAAAAAAATTGCTGAATTAGGTCATCCTATGTAAAACCAGGGAAAGTGTTAAGGGGCCGAGGGTATGCTTATGTTTCTACAAGAGATCAAAGGTTATGTATACCATCAAAATTGATAAAAATCTGTCATGAGAAGAGGAATCTCTCAGATGCTTCTGCTGCTGAGATGCCTCTGGGAAGGTAAAGATACAGAAGGACTTTGGGGCAGAAAGTGAATCCATCAACCTGGAGACAGCTTAAGAATTTGTGTGACAAAGGGGAGGCAATAATTCAAATGACCCAGTAACCTTTAAATTCTTAGTCCGTTGCTATGGTATAGGTGGTATCTGGGCAGGTTATGTACTGATCATAGTTATTGGGCCTATACCCCCAATCGTCCAATTAACTCAGCAGCAATTCGGGTGGTTAATGAATTTTTTTGGCTACCTTGTCCTCATGACACCTGAGGTCCTGCTCAGCCAATCAAGGGGGGTATAGAGATTTAAAATTATACTGTGGAAGTACAAGGAATTCTCACTTGTAAGGGAAATGGAATTTAATGTCTAAATAAAAATTCGCAAATATGACTATCTATAGTCAATACTAGCTAATACTATCCTACTCAGTTTTATATGCTTAATGCATCTGGCTTTAAAGGACAGGAGATTAACGCTACTAGTTCCATAAATCTACCCTTCTGTTATATGTGGGTTACCAGCAAGGAATCTGACTGAGTACATTAGCAACAATGTAAGAGTGAGAAACCTCGAGTGCTTATCAATATCTCCCATGGAGAAGTCATTCACTGGAGCCCTTGTGGCTTCCCTTGAGGAAAGTGTTCTCACTCTGAGTTAAGATGGAAGTGGTAAGATTTGAAAGGATCTGTGGAAATTAGTTCTTCTGTTATTGATCCTATCAATTGTCACGGAGTTAGGATGTAAAGTCCTCTCCTGAAGTTTTGCAATTCTGTTCAAACTAACTTATGGCAATTAGCAAATGCCTTCTACCCTTTCAAAGCATGGGAAGGAAATGTAAGCATTATGGATGATAAATATACTTTGTCTTGTAGACTAACTTGAAGCCATCCTTTTATAGTATGCATACCATTACCTAACTTGCTTCTGAAGAGCCTGTAAAATGGCACCCTAATAATTACAACACTACTTGAAAATGCTGTCCCTTTCATACCTGAATTAGTTCTAGTATGCCTCTAAATTTAACTTCTGCAAATTTATGCATTCTCAGAGCAAGGTAAGCAATCTGAATAAAGGTGAAGTTGTTGAGGCCATCCCAAAAACTCAACAGAAGCTTGCTGAAAGAATATTAAGAACATGTAGAATGGTTGAACTGTAATAATGGGAATTATTGCATTGACTGCTAGTGCTGCGCCAACCAGGGTGGCCCATCACTAAGAAATACAAGCTGCTGAGTTCATTAGAGACTAAACTAAACATTTTACAGAACTTTGGATGGAACAAAGTAAATTAGATAGTGAGATAGTTAATGAATTAGCTGATTTGAGTCAAGCTATTATACTGTTGGGAGATCAGTTAGAAATATTGAAGGAGCAGATAAAATTAAAATGAGATTAGAATGCTACACCCTATGTATCACACCTTTAAAGTTCAACAATATCAAGTATGACTAGGAGATAATAAAAGTACACTTGATTTATCATCCTACTCCTTCTCAAATTATTTATAGCCAGAAATTAAAGAAATTTTTATCAAAAAATTTAACTTTTACGACAATAATGGATGTTACAGAAAACATTTCAGATACAATAGCCTCATTCATGCCTTTGAATCATTTTAATAGATTTCTTATTTTAGCAAGTGTTACTCTTGTGCTAGCAATAGCGACCATATTGGCTTTAAAATGTATTTTCACTTACTTATATAAGATCATAAAACAAAGGTTGTATTTGCTGTAAAGCTACAAAACCCCCAGCATAATTAATTGTTACATATACAAAAGGGGGACATATGACAGGCACTCCTGCAGATTTTTGCACTTGGTTTGATTCCGGATTGTCAGCATTTAGCTTTGATCTGCTTTTCTTGACAGCTACCTTTTGTCCTCTGTACCTTCTGTTTAAACCATGAAAATCTTAGCTGAGTGTTGTGAGAACTCATTCAGCCAATAGTCTATGAAGTATCAGCCCATTTTGGCCAGGATCTCAGGTTCTACTTGTAAACTGGGAGCAAGTTCTCCTTCTCCCCCCTCCCCCTTTTCCAGTGGTGGTCATGGAGCAAATGGCAGCTTCCAGCACCTAAAGGCAGAAAAATTTCATTGTGTGAATGTTCCCCAACTAACATTTGTTATTCTTTTATTTGGTTATTCCTGGGCTTCCTTAATTCACCCACACCTGAGAGCATCCTAAGGGCATAAATCGTATGCAAAACTTGTTGGGAAAAAATGCAGTATTCTTTAAGTGAGACTATGCATTTGGCATGGTCCCTTTGAAAAACTTAAATAAGAGGTTTTGGTATATGGAAATTAACTTGATAAAGATGCAAATTGAATAAAGAAAAAGCCTTTTGCTAAGTGTCAGTCCATGAGAAGCTATTTACCCCTGTATCTGGAAAGGTCATAAAATCATCCTTAGACTCCATCTGTGAGTTCTTTCCATGGACCCCTGTGAACCCACACTTGTTACAAGAGCCAAGTAACATGGTTGCTTCCATCTTGATGAGGATCATATGGGTCATCAACCAGGTCATATTTCTGTTCAAGTTGAACTCAGCTACTGAATAAAGCTGATGAATAAAGCTACTGAATAAAGTAACCACATCCACCATCAGGGCATTCAAGGTTGACGTGTAATCCACTTTGCTAGGGAGGTTCCATGATCTTACTAAGATCACCCAGTCATTGTGCTCTTCCTTGTACATCTCTAAGAGAAAGAGATGGCAATGGGACAGGTGAAAGGTTGTTCAAAGAACTGTGCTTGGGTGGGGGATGTTTAAACCTCTCTCAGTGCAGATCCTAATGTTGCTTTAGGATTGATTCATGCAACTCAGGTAGATGTCTCCATGAGCATCATTGGTCCTTAATTAGAACATCTGAAAGGCTGCAGTCTCTCCACCCATGTACAGACAGAGTTGGTGTGGTGTGGATGCCTTGAGGTGTTATAGTACAGAATGGGGGAGACTTTAAGAATGAAATTTTCTATATGCTGCTTATTTCACTAAAACATCAAAGAATTAGGGGGTTTGTATGTGTTTCTACTTACCAGAAGATTCCATGTGTGATATGAGTTAACTTTCCTGTCCAGAAATTTTTGATCCATCCAGGCTTTTATGTAATAAGGTCACCACTTACTATGATTGTTGGCATTCAAATTACAACCATTATCATGATGGCAAAGATTATTTTTGTAGCTATGTAACATAGAAAGTATAAAAGCCATTGTATCATACTGTAAGAACATGTGAGGCCCCATCATAAATATTAATAATTCTCTGTAGGTTCAAGGCAAGGAGCTACCAGGTTTCTTTTGGCCTTCATATTTGCCATTGAGGAAATCAACAGAAACACTCACATTTTACCTAACACATCTCTAGGTTTTGATCTCTATAATGTCAACAGCAATCAATGGAATACTCTGGAGGCACCTTTCATTTGCCTCACAGGCATGGGAACAATGATTCCCAATTACACATGTAGAAGGCAGAAGAAGGCTGCTGCTTTACTGACAGGGATATCATGGGCAACATCTGCACATATTGGGAGACTTCTGAATCTCTACAAATATCCACAGGTGAAGGACAAGGTTGTTAGGAAACAAAAAACCTGTATTAAAAATATCAAAATATACAGAAGTTAGTATATGTCATTCATCAATCAAAGTGAATTAACCAGGAATTTGGTTATATAGCCTCACATACTTTGCTGGAGATGGAGGATAGGAAGAGTTTGGAGCCTATTTTTGGTGTTTAGAAAGTGCTACGTCTTGTGAGACAAGATAGGAGATTAAAACATCATGAGCAGATGTTAATCTTTACTATTCCAAAGTGCTGCCTCAGGTTCAAGATTGTATTTTATGTTTCCTATTTGAAATTTCCTGCAGGTTACTTTTGGCCAATTTGACACTATCCTGAGTGACAGAAGACAGTTCTCTTCTCTCTACCAGACAGCATCCAAGGAAACATCTCTGTCACATGTCATTGTCCTTTTGATGCTTCATTTCAGCAGGACATGGGTGGGGCTGGTTCTTGTAGATGATCATAATGGTGCTGAAGTTCTCTCAGACTTGAGAAAAGAGATGGACAGGAACAGAATGTGTATAGCTTTTGTAGAAATGATTCCAGACAATGTAGTTCCCTTCTACTATAATTCTTTAAGGACTTTCAAGGAGACCATGAAATCAACTGCATATGTGGTTATCATTCATGGTGACACTGAATCTTTAACTGGTATATTTCTGTACATAGGGGAACATTTGGTGAACTGGAAAGTCCGGGTCATGAAGTCACAATGGGATCTGAGTACTATTTCTTTTTATTTCATGTGGGAGTCTGATTTTCACACCTCACCATGTTAAGATTTCTGAATTAAGAAGTTTATCTGGGCATATAATCCTTCTAAATACCCAGATGACCATTATCTTGCTCATATTTGGAATGAACACTTCAATTGCTCTTATTCTGGACCTGATTGTAAAATACTGTGTAACTGTCCACTCAATGTTTCCTTGAAAATGTTGCCTAGAGATATTTGGGAAATGGACATGACTGAAGAGAGTTACAATATATATAATTCTGTGTATGCTGTGGCTCACAGTCTCCATGAGATGACTATCAACCAAGTACAAAATTACCCCCATGGAAATGGGGAGGTAAATACTTACCCTTGGGAGGTAATTTCTCTCCTTGTATATTTTAACAATAGCATTGTGAGTTATGAGGATATTTAAAAGCACTCAATACATGATTATGCACTCTGCAAATTTTACCAAAAGGCACCTAAGATATTGTATGTCACTTATAATCTAGAATTTGCTGCAGACATATATGTCATTGTTCCTGATGAAGGGAGGACAAGAAAATGTTTAAATGTGTAAATGTCATTATCTACTTTGTGTTACAATTAACTTTATAATCTACTCATTATAATGAAATAAGTTTGAAAACTCATTATCTCTAAGTATATTTCAGAGCTGAAATAGGAGAAGTAGATACTAAATGCTCAAATTTTGCTAAATCATTAAAGTTCAAATTCTGAAGTTATGTTTGTTACCTAACAGTATCTGACCATTATCATTAAGTTTAGGCATTAAACACCCTTGCTTACAAGTTAAAGCATTGAGTGGTGGCTAACACTTCAAGAAGTTGGGCATTTGTCTGAATCAACAATCACTGATTAAGGTTTAGTGTGTGTGTGTGTGTGTGTGTGAGAGAGAGAGAGAGAGAGAGAGAGAGAGAGAGAGAGAGAGAGAGAGAGAGAGAGAGAGAGGAAGGGAGAGAGAGAGAGAGAGAGAATTATTTCTTCTGAAACTGATGTCAGTCTAGAAATATGATATGTTCATTCTTGGTCTTCATCCAATAAAATGTTGATATGTTGACATAGTTTGCAATTAATGTCAGGAAATTGATATAGTGAGACACATTGTTTTATGATGTTGTGTTTAAATTTTCTGGGAATGAATTCAACATCAGATTTTACATCTCGTTAGCTTCACCATTTTCTCAAAAATACCCATTTCAAAAATGCTTCTGGAAACCTTGTAGTTTTGAAGTCACAAAGGAAATTAGATACACAATATGATATTCTCAACTTCTGGAATTTTCCCCTTGGTCTCAGACAAAAGATGAAGGTTGGAACATTTTCTCCAAAAGCCCCACAGGGCCAAGAACTGCTTTTGTCTGATCATATGATCCAGTGGGCCACAGGATTTACAGAGGTGGGTTGAATCTTACATCATTGCATTGATCTCTTTCAATAAACAGTTGTTTGTGGATGTAATGGTTGTTGATACCTTACTCAGTGACAATCTGTATGCACAAAGCTACTATCATCTGTGGAACTTTTTGTTCCTTCCTCTGAGTAATGGAATTTTTTTTTCAATGGGCATTTATTTCCAGTTATAAAATCAGTGACTATTTATAATGATTTCATCCTTGTGCTGAAACTACCTGAGAAGACATTAATTTGACTCCCAGATTAGAAAATTTCAGTGCATGTTCAATTGGCTTTTGGGCACCTGGCAATATGTAATAGCATTGAGGGCACATAAATGTGGGCATATTACATGTCTTCCTGCTGAGAAGGGAACCAATTGTCAAAAAAGGGTGGGGGGAACATAACTTTACATAGACTTCTGGTCACACTTGGTGTGTGTTTCAATAACTATGTAGGCAAGAGCCTGAAAAAAAGAGTATCTTCAGTCAGGTACTACATGCTGATGAACACTGCTCTCTGTTTCCCCTTTTGCTTTTCATTCAGTCCATAACAAAAGAAAATGAAAAGGTGCTACTTTCTTATAGAATATGTTTTCACTTCATGTAACATACTGTCCATTATTTTTAACAGACAGTCACAAAGAACAGTTTATTTGGTAAATCTGAATCTTTCAAACTCGAAATGTAAATTAAGCATCACCATTGGGAAACAAAGCTGCTCACTCCAGCTGTCAGGAAGTTCACAATAGGATCACTATAGCATTACAGTTGCCCTTTTAGACATGTACTTAGTGACCTAACATTTTTTCTTATTTTGCCCTACCTCTAACATTTCCAGAACTGTTCATAATTCTGTTGTTTTGCATCATTGATTAAATACATTGAACTTCATAATTCTTATTCTATATTGAAATTAGAAGGTATGTGTCAAAACAAAGATCTACAATTAATAAATATAATAACTTGCCATGTTCTTGTTGGAAAATAATATTTTTATTGTCTTACAACTGTCCACTCCTGAGTATGTTACAACTGTCCACTCCTGAGTATTGTCACCATGTATTTGATTCTCAGCTTCCTCACTCTGTGTGCAGTGAGAGCTGTTTTCCTGGATTCAGAAAATCTTCCCAGGAAGGGAGGCCTGCCTGTTGCTATGATTGCACTCGATGACCAGATAATGCGATTTCCAATGTCACAGGTAAGTGTTGGACTCACTGGGGGAATTTCCCTACCTCTCTACAGTTTTTGGTAATGTCTAAACTGATGAAATGATTCTGTGAAGGAACAGTAGAGTCCTGTTCTTTTATCAGTTAGAAGTAAAAATATTTTGGTTCATTTTATCATCATTTAACTAATGCTTTGTCCATTGAAACTCATACTTGATTTATGTTGTTGATCCTCTACAGCCACTGATACTTTCATAGACCAGCTTTACCCATTGTGGAATATTCTGCTTTATTTCTCCCTAGCATTTAATGCACACACACACACACACACACACACACTATAAATTACTGACTTCTCTTGTATTTCATAGCATATTTAGTTCATAGTTAACACACATTTAAGAGCTGGATCCTTATGGTCCTTAGTTGCATATTTTCAGTCATGGTTCTAGCTTCATCAGAGGTGGTTAGAAACGTATTTTATTGACTCATGGACATATTATAAAATGTTTTATTTTACATGTTTGTCATTTTATCTGTGAGTGTTTTACCTTTGTTTACAGTGTGCCCATCAAAGTGAGATTAGAGTATCAGATTTCCTGAAAGTGTACTACAGACACCATAGGGGGCTTTTAACTGAACCCAGTTACCTGAAGTGTAACAGGTTTACTGTTTTCCTCCATCTTTACATGAGTACCAGAAACATCATAGCTATGTAACTTCCAAGGAGAGGGACATCCTTAAATCACATAGATATGAAATAGTTAATACATGTTTAGATCCAGAAAACATCCACTAGGGTGATACATCAAAAACCTCTTGTGAGAGTTTCATTGAACACAAATATTTTTAAATCAATTGTTGCTATGGTTCATTAACTTAAATACATATGTGTATTTCTTTTGAGTTATTTTATTAATGTAAGCTAATTAATGTGGTAAATAGTCATTGTATACAAATGACTATTTTCTAAAAGAAGTTAATGGAAAAAATATTAAACATAGAAGAAGAAAATTATGGAATAATTTTGTGACGACTAGGTGAAAATGGCATATGACCACTTCCATTAATGATAATACTGTGAATAAGTCAGACATATATACAAATGTTTATACAATAAGGAAGGACACTGCTTTTAAAGTATCGTCTTTTCCAGGCAACTGGGGACATAGTTAGGAACCTTATGTAGTTGCTAGATTTTTACTCTTTGGCTCTTTGAGTGCCTGCTACCCAACTCCCAAATAATTACATGAAGGCTTCTTTTTTTTTTTTTTTTTTTTTTTTTTTTTTTTTACAAATGTTGGGCCTTAGCTTGACTTTTTTTTTCTAGCCAGCTTCTCTTAACTAAAATTGTCATGTCTACCTTATGCCTCTGAGTGTTGATTTTCTCAAGTGTACACATCTTTTAAAAATTCTTTCTCCCTGGCTTGCTGTGTAGCATGGTGGCTGGTTCCCTATGTCCTCCTCTTTTTCTCCTTCTTTTGCTCCTTGGTTCTTTTTTTTTTTTTTTTTTTTTTTTTGCATATAGAGTATTTTTTTATTTAATTTTATATAACAAAGTCCAATTAAATGAAAACAAACATTTATACACAATATTTGGGAATTTGGGCGTCGTTCTTTCCAAACTACTTCCTGCTGGTAAGGGGCGCTGTCTTGGGGGATTCGAAGAAGATTCAGATATCCTAGCTGTAGTCTGTAGGGCTGTTTTGTCCAGCTGTTTGGAATGTAGGATCAGCTTGTACTCTGTTTCAGGCGATCTGGTGTGATCAAACCACATTAGTCTGGAAGGAATCCACATCTTTTCATTTTCTGTGGAAACAAAAATAGAAATACTTTTCCCCAGTAACTTGTTCTTCAACTTAAATTTTGGAGTCAAAGCGTTTTTTTTTATTATTATTATTATTTTACATGTCGATCCCAGTTCCCTCTCCCTCCCTCCCTCCCTCCCCCCAAGCCCTCCCTCCCTCCTTCCCTCCCTTTTGCCCTCTCTACCCTCTCCCATACACTCTAAACACCCTCCCCTCCCAACCCCCCACCACAATACAATATGTAGGGGAATGCCATCCAGTTGGGGTCATGTAGATCTGACAGGTCCTGTGAAGTAGGGACTAGGGCTTCTCTCCTATCTCTAGAATAAGGCAGTTATCCCTCCATGGGGGATATGTTTGCAAAGTCCTTTTGTGCACCAGGGATACATCCTGGCTCCACTGTCTGAGGTCTCTTAGACTGCTCAGACCTTCTGGCTGAGACCCATATTCAGGGGAGTCCGAGTCAGACCCCTGTTGGCTTCCCAGCTATCAGTCTAGTGGCCCTTAGCTCCTCCTTGTTCAGGTAAGCTGTCTCTATGTACTTCTACCGCATGGTCTTGTCCTCTCCATCTGCTTCTGGGTTCTAGTTTGACTCAGTGTTTATGTATGGGTGTTTGCTCCTGTTTTCAACAGGCATTAGTTGAGGACTCCATGGAGAAGTTAGTTGTTGATCTCACTCTCCGGGAAGGGCATTTATGATAGCCTTTCCACGGAAGCTGAGATTGTTAGTTGGGAGCAGTCTTGTAGTTCCCTCGACCTTTCTTTGTGTTCAACTTTATCTTCAAACCAATATTGGCCCCCTCTTTTATGTTCTCTCTCTCTGTCTCTGTCTCTCTCTCTCTTTCCTATTTTCCATTCCTAACCAGGCTCAATCCTCCTGGTCGCACATGCCTTCCCTCTCCTCCCTCTCATTTTCTCCTACTTGTCTCTCCATTAGCTGTCCTCCCCCACTATACCTGAGGTCTGGGGGACTTGTCCCTTCCCAGTTCTGTGAGGGACTTTATATGAATCTCTTAGAATACAACTTGTATCCTAGTTCCTCTGGTGATGTGAATTATAGGCTGGTGATCATTTGATCTAGGTCTAAAATCCATATATGAGTGAGTACATACTGTGTTCCTCTTTTTGTGACTGGGTTACCTCATTCAGGATGTTTTCTTCAAGTGCCATCCACTTGCCTGCGAATTTCAAGATACCATTATTTTTTTCTGCAGAGTAGTATTCCATTGTGTAGATGTGCCACATCTTCATTAACCATTCTTCAATTGAAGGGCATCTAGGTTGCTTCCCAGGTTCTTGCTATTACAAATAGTGCTGCTATGAACATAGTTGAACAGATGTCTTTGTTGCATTGATGTGAATCCTTTGGGTATATGCCTAAGAGGGGGATTGCCGGGTCCTGTGGTAAACTAATTCCCATTTTCCTGAGGAACCGCCATACTGATCTCCAAAGTGGCTGTATGAGTTTGCACTCCCACCAGCAGTGGAGGAGTGTTCCACTTTCTCCACATCCTCTCCAACATAAGTCATCACTGGTGTTTCTAATTTTAGCCATTCTGGCAGGGGTAAGATGGTATCTCAAAGTTGTTTTGATTTGCATTTCCCTGATAGCTAAGGATGTGGAGCATTTTCTTAAGTGTCTTTCAGCCTTTTTGATTTCCTCCATTGAGAATTCTTTCTTCAGTTCTGTACCCCATTTTTTAATAGGGTTATTTGGTGTTTTGTTGACTAGTTTCTTGAGTTCTTTGTATATTTTGGAGATCAGCCCTTTGTCGGATATAGGATTAGTGAAAATCTTTTCCCAGTCTGTGGGCTGCCGTTTGGTCTTGTCAACTGTGTCCTTTGCCTTACAGAAGCTTCTAAGTTTGAAGAGGTCCCATTTATTAATTGTTTCTTTCAGTGTCTGTGCCCCTGGAGTTATGTTCAAGAAGCGGTCTCCTATACCAATTTGTTCAAGGGTACCTCCTACTTTCTCTTCTAAGAGGTTCAATGTGGCTGGATTGATGTTGAGGTCTTTGATCCATTTGGACTTGAGTTTTGTGCATGGCGACAGACATGGGTCTATCTGCAGTCTTCTACACACCCTCATCCAATTGTGCCAGCACCATTTGTTGAAGATGCTGTCTTTGCCCCATTGTATCATTTTAGCTGTTTTGTCAAAAATCAGGTGTTCATAGGTGCGTGGATTAATATCAGGATTTTCAATTCGATTCCATTGGTCTACCTGTCTATTTTTATGCCAATACCAGGCTGTTTTCAGAACTATAGCTCTGTAGTAGAGCTTAAAGTCAGGAATGGTGATGCCTCCTGATGTTCTTTTATTGTATAGGGTTGTTTTGGCTATCCTGGGTCTTTTGTTTTTCCATATAAAGTTGATTATTATCCTTTCAAGGTCGGTGAAGAATTGTGGTGGGATTTTAATGGGGATTGCATTGAATCTGTAGATTGCTTTTGGTAAGATTGCCATTTTTACTATGTTTATCCTACCTATCCAAGAGCATGGGAGGTCTTTCCATTTTCTGGTATCTTCTTTAATTTCTTTCTTTAGAGTCACAAAGTTCTTATTATATAGATCTTTTACTTGTTTGGTAAGCGTTACACCAAGATACTTTATGTTGCTTGTGGCTATTGTAAAGGGTGATGTTTCTCTGATTTCTTTCTCTGCCTCTTTGTCGTCTGAAAAAAATAGGGCTACTGATTTTTTTGAGTTTATCTTGTATCCTGCTAGTTTGCTGAAGGTGTTTATCAGCTGTAGGAGTTCCCTGGTAGAGTTTATTGGGTCGCTTATGTAAACTATCATATCATCTGCAAATAGAGACAGTTTGACTTCTTCCTTTCCAATTTGGATGCCCTTTATCTCCTTTTGTTGTCTTATAGCATTAGCTAGAACTTCTAGTACGATATTGAAGAGATATGGAGAGAGAGGACAGCCTTGTCTTGTTCCTGATTTTAGAGGAATTGGCTTAAGTTTCTCTCCATTCAGTTTGATGTTGGCAGTTGGTTTGCTGTATATTGCTCTTATTATGTTTAGGTATGTTCCTGTTATCCCTGACCTCTCTAATACCTTTATCATGAAAGGGTGTTGAATTTTATCGAAGGCTTTTTCTGCATCTAGGGAGATAATCATATGGTTTTTCTTTTTCCGTTTGTTTATATGGTGGATCACGTTGATAGATTTTCGTATGTTAAACCATCCCTGCAATCCAGGTATGAAGCCTACTTGATCATGG